AAAATATATCTTGAGGGTCAGTAATTCGCTGGGCTTTGGTGTCACCAGGAAAGTTCTGAAGAAATTCTTCTCCCTGTTCCTGTCCTTTTTTATTGAGCGGGCATTGATTGGGGCACGTTTGTGGTGTGTAGGGCCCCTACTTCTCCCTGGGAACAGACACCACACAATCCTTATATTCCTCAAGAGGACAAACAGGTTACCCATGAGCCATCCTGCAAAGCAAGGAGAAGCTGGTTTGAATGTTGAATGTTTGTTTGAAATAGTATAGGGTTTCCTGCTTGAGGAGGGGGTTGGACTAGAAGTCCTCCAAGGTCCCTTCCAACTCTTGTTATTCTGTTGGTAAGTTGGGAGATGGTCAGATTCCACCATCCAGAACCACGAATCGTAGCTTATTCGTCTCACCCGTCTAGAAGGGAAGAAGGAAGAAGCGTTTTGCAGCTGAAGTTGTAGAAAAAAACAGAAGTTTTTTTTATAACCCCCTTTTTGGCAAGCACAGTTGGGTTCCCCCCACCTTTTTTTCTTTTTTTCCTCCTCCTTTTTAAAACAACGTCTTGTATTTCTTAACGCTGATGTTCACTTTGGTAGGAAAAACGTTGGCCAAGCAGCGTTGTTATGACTTGTTCGCTTAAACAATGGGGTGGAATTGGAACGGGTGTCTGTGCAGGCTCTATTTCAGGAAAAAGGGGGGTTATTAAATATTTTTCTTCCCAGAGTCCAAGGCTCCTTAAAAAAAATAATGGATGCGCTGGGGGTGCAAATGGGACAGCACCGAATATATTTCCATAGCCAAATGTGAAACGGCAGCTTTTCCCAGCCTCCTTTTATTGCCCTTTTAAGCTTCTCTCCCCTACTTCACGATCAGAGAATGTGGTCTGTACAGGTAGCCCTTGACGTATGACCACAACAGAGCCCAAAATTTCTGTCACTAAGCGAGACAGCGGTTAAGTTTGAGTTTTGCCCCATTTTACCAACTTTCTTGCTACCGTTGTTAAGTAAATATTGCAGTTAAGTTAGTTATAGGGTTGTTAAGCGGATCTGACTTCCCCATTGACTTTGCTTGTCAGCAAAGGGAATCACTTCACACACACACACACACACACCTGGACGCTGCGACCGTCATAAATATGAGTCAGTTGCCAAGCAGCTGAATTTTGATCACGTGACCCTGAAGCTGTTGCGACGGTCGTTGAGTGTGAAAAACGGCTCTAGGTCAATTTTTTCAGTGCTGTTCTAACTTTGAACGGTCGCTAAATGAATGGTTGTAAGTCAAGGACTTAGAAAAGATCCTTTAATCAATCTTATGGGGAGCCCTGTTTGATGGTCTTCCATCCTGTTTGGGGCTGCTAAAATACAGATAGTCCTTGAGTTAACGGCCAAAATTGCAATGGATCCCCTCCTCCACTCTGCAAATGCCAGTCCCTTCTAGCGCTGATGATGTTACCTGGCTGGGTCATGAAATGTCTGCAAGGAAACCACCAAGATCAGAGAGCCCCAAAGAGCCACAGTGTCCTCCTCCTCTTCCTCCACTTCCACTCTGCAAATGCCAGTCCCTTCTAGTGCTGATGGTGATACCTGATTGGGTCATAAAACGTCTGCATGGAAACAACCAAGCTCAGAGAGCACCAAAGACCCCACAGTCTTTCTCCTCCTCCTCTCCAGAAACCCCTTTCTCTTCTAGCACTGATAATGTTATCTAGCTGGGTAATGAAACATCTGCAAGAAAACAAGCTCAGAGAGCACCAAGGACCCCACATTCCTCTTCCTCCATCCCACAAACCCCTTTCTCTTCTAGCGCTGATGACGTTACCGAGTTGGCTCATGAACTGTCTGCAAGGAAACCACCAAGCTCAGAGAGCCCCAAGATCCCACAGTCCTCTTCCTCCTCCTCTTCCATCCCACAAACTCCACTCCCTTCTAGCACTGATGATGGTCCCCAGTTGGGTCATGAAACGGCTGCAAGAAAACCGCCAAGCTCAGAGAGCAACGAGGATCCCACAGACAAGACCCTTTTATGTGCGCAATGGCGCTTGTAGCTTAGCACCCTAGCCAGGAAAAATGTCCTGTTCTTCCTAAGATGGGCGAATTGCTGTCTTCTGATCTCTGATCCAGTCTGGAGTGGAGGCCTTTCTCCACTCTGGCAGAAGACGTGACACCAATATGTACTTCACTTTTTTGCTGGACAACACAAAGAGACATCCTTGTCCTAAAGACCAGAGCATGGAAGTTGGTCAACAAAAGGAATGTTTGGATACACGCAACCGATGTAAACAACCCCAGGTCCACATATTCAAGTCTTCGGAAGAAAGCATCGGGAGGAGAACCACAAAGATGGATCTTCAGAACCGATTCCAAGAAAGAGTGTGAAGCCACGTCCGTACATTAAGCTATTTAAATAGTTCAGATCCTAGCTGACAAGGAGCAGATCTTACTGTGTGCGCATCGGCTGTTTGCTAACATGATGGTCCAGCTACAAATACGGTCTGGAAGGGAACTTTTACCATTTGGGACCGTTTCTTCCAGCTAAAAAGCTTTTAGTGCTTCGTTTTGAGGCCAAGAACAAATGTAATTTCTCTCCCCCCCCCCGCCCCCAAATTGGCCAGAATATTGCAACTGGAATGCGAAAAATAAACAGCAATTGCATTTCGTTTTGTTGTCGTTTTATTTTCCTTCCTGCGCTGATGAGACGAATCTAGCTCGGAGCTGTTAAATGTGTCCAGATGTCTTGTGCTATTATCAAGGCTGCAAATAACGCTCATTATTCTACGGGAGATACGGTGAGGTTCTTTGATATCAAGGCATGCTCAGAAATCCTGTGGATGCCTATGGGGAATGAAAATCTCGCCCGTGTAAATTCATTTTGTTTAAAAGAGAAAAAAAAAGTGGGCTTTGAAAAAAGAATTCTTTTTCAACCACAACTAAAAGAAATAGATTAGTAAGAAGCGTTCGTGCTTGGAAAGGGTGGAGTACATGTAAGTCCTCCAGTTACAACAGTTCATTTAGCGACTGTTCAGTTACAAAGGCACTAGGGAGAGTGACTTATGACACCTTTTTACACTCACGATCGTTGGGGTTTGTAAAATTGAGCAGGAGGAGGAGGACTGAGGGATCCTTGGTGCTCTCTGCGCACAATTGTTTCCTTGCAGACATTTCATGACCCAACTGGGTAACATTATCAGTGCTAGAAGGGAGAAGGGTTTGTGGAGAGGAGGAGGAGAAGAAGAACTGAGGGGTCCTTGGTGCTCTCTGATCTCGGTTGTTTCCTTCCAAACATTTCATGACCCAACTGGGTAACGTTATCAGTGCCATTGGGTGATGTTACCCAGTTTGAGTAATGAAACATCTGCAAAAAAACATCCAAGCTTTGACAGCACCAAGGACCCCTTCCATTTGAACAGGTAGGCAAAAATGCCAAATGCTTGCCTGACTTTAGGGGGAGAAAATATATATAATTTACATTCAGTAATTGAACTGTAAAAAACGGCAACAGTTTATGATGGAGTGCCCAGAATCATGGTCTGTGCCTGTATGTCTTTTTTAGAAGACCCCCATGCTTACTAACCAGGCTTATGCCCTGGAGATAATATTGCTGCAAGCGCCACAGAAATCCCTAAGTGTAAACAAAGCTTTCCAACGCACATATTTCCAAGCAACAGTAATGTTAAGATGTCAGTAGAATTTACAGTTTGGCTGTGATTTATGGAAGTCCTCTTTATTGGGGTTTGCTTATAGTTCCCGCAGCCCAGGGAGCTGTAGTTGTAAAAAACGGGGGGAAAGCGAAATACAGAGGGATCAACCCCGAAGCAGCTCTTTTTTTACAGATTTCTTTCAGGGTTTTTTTAAAAAAAAATTCTCCTTTTCCTCTCTTTTTTTTATGGTGGCTCCCTTAAGTAAAGAAAAACACTGCGGTCTTTTATACTTCCTGTTCCTTGGTTTGTTTTTTTTAAAAATACTACTGTTTTTCTTCTGCTTCGTCCTTCCTTGTTTGGGCTTTGCATGCATTCCCAGGGTGGGTAGCTGACTTTTCAAAAGAAGTCACAAAAGAATTGCAGTAGGGGCAGCCCTTGACGTACCGCCACAACGGAGCCCAAACTTTATGTTGCTAAGTGAGGCATTCGTTAAGTGAGCCTTGCCCCCCCTATTACGACTTTTCTCGCCACGATTGTTAACTGCGAATCATCCCAGTTCTTGAATTAGTGACACGGTTGTTAAATGAAGCTGGCTTCCCGGTTGACTTTTGCTGGTCAGAAGGTCGCAAAAGGGAATCACATGATCCTGGGATATTGCAACCGTCTTAAGTACCTGCCAGTTGCTAAGCCATCTGAATTTTGATCACCTGACCAACCCTCACTTAAACCGCCTTGCTTAACAACGTGAATGTTGGACTCGGTTGCAGTCATAAGTCAAGGATTACCTATACCAGGGGAAGGCAACCTTGGCTCTTTTATGACTCGTGGACTTCAACTCCCAGAATTCCTGAGCCAGCCACGCTGAGGGGAAAGGGAGAGGTTTCCAAGCTGAGCCATGCTGGCTCAGGAATTCTGGGAGTTGAAGTCCACGAGTCATAAAAGAGCCAAGGTTGCCTACCCCTGACCTATACTAGTTGTTAGCTAAACTCCCATTGATGGAGGTGTCAGTTTCAGGCTAAGGTTTGGGACCCAAGATCTGGTTCTACATCAAGACCCTCCAATTCTGCATCCTTTAATGGTTCCGTGGAGAAACAGACCGGAGAGTGCGTGGTTTTGTGTGCTGCCTGCATTCCACAGATGGGTCTTTGCTTGTTTGTGTGGACCGGAGTGTGCGTGGTTTTGTGTGCTGCCTGCATTCCACAGATGGGACTTTGCTTGTTTGTGTAGACTGGTTGCTGGCGTGCCGCAGCCCGGTACCGGTCCACATTGGGGGTTGGGGACCTTGCTTTAAAACAGTGCCTGATGTTTAACTCCAGTTGATGTTTCACACACTCAGTTGTACCCGTGTGTTTTTTTTTTCCCTCCCTCCCTCAGGTGTATCATTCGGTTTCCAAGCACAGTCATCAAAATCCAGTTCACGTCACTCTACCATAGAGAGGAGGCGAGAGAGGACACAGCATCTCCTCCACTCCGGCCACTCTACCCCCAGATATCGCCGCTTAAGATCCACATTCCGGAGCCGGATCTTCGGAGCCTGGTCAGCCCTTTGCCTTCTCCCACTGGGACCATCAGGTAAGTAAGGGGGTGTGGTTCTCCAGCACAGGTGTGGCCAGCCCAGTGTCAACAAAACGCCACTTCGCTTCTTTTCCCAAAATTCTCATTTCTCCCCTTATACAAGGTAGTCCTCGTCTTACAGCCACAATGGAACCCCAGATTTTTGTTGTTAAGTTGGGTTTGGGGGTTTTTTTTGGGTGTTTTTTTAAAAAAATACTACTGTTTTTCTTCTTACCGCTTTACAAAGCCCTAGTAAGACCACACCTGGAATACTGCAGCCAATTTTGGTCACCATGTCACAGAAAAGATGTTGAGAGTTTGGGGAAAAAATTCAGAGAAGAGCAATTAAGATGATCCAAGGCCTGGAGACCTTACACATAAGAAGAACGGCTGTGGGACTTGGGTTTGGCTAGTCTAAAGAAAAGAAGAAATAGGGGAGACATGATAGCAGTCTTCCAGTATCTGAGGGGCTGCCACAAAGACGAGGGGGTCACGTTATTCTCCAAAGCGCCTGGAGGCAGGACAAGAAACAATGGTTGGAAACTGAACAAAGACAGAAGCAACCTAGAATTAAGGAGAAACTTCCTGACAGTGAGGACAATCAACTAGTGGAACAGCTTTGCCTTCAGAAATCGTGGGTGCTCCATCACTGGAGATTTTTCAGAAGAGGCTAGACAGTCACTTGTCTGAGATGGTATAGGTTCTCCTGCTTGAGCAGGGGGATGGACTAGAAGACCTCCAAGGTCCCTTCCAGCTCTATTCCATTCTATTCTATTCTATTCTGAATTCTATTCTATTCTATATTGCTATTCTATTCTATATTGCTATTCTATTCTGCTAAGTGATATAGGCCAATCACCAGGAGACTGTGGGTTCTAGTCCCGCCTTTGGCATAAAATCCAACTGGATGATTTTTGGGTCCGTTACCAGGAGACAAGGGAGTTCCAGTCCCACCGCATGAGAGCTTGGTGGATGACTTTAAGCCAGTTCCCCTCTCTCAACCCAACCCACCTCGGGGGGTTGTCGTTTGTGGGGAAAATAGGAGGAGGGAGGAGTATTCAAGTACGTTGCTGCCTTGAGTTGTTTATAAAAATAAGAAAGGCGTGCTATAAAATGATGATGATGATGATGATGATGATGATGATGATGATGATGATGATGATGATGATGATGATGATGATCTTGGACAACTTGGGTCAAAGCTCACGGGAAACTTGAAGCTGTGAAGTCATGAGTTATCTTCTGCAGGCTTTGTCAGAGGTCCTGGCTGGAACTATGGCGCTGAAGTGGGAAGGGGGAAGGCGATGGGTGTCTTTTTATTTCTGTGGTGACTTCACTTTTTTTCAGGAAGCAAAAAAAATCACGTGCCCCAGACTGATACGTTGAGCTTGACACGCCCTAGAGCCAGTGTTGACACAGGCAAGCTTGAGCTTGCTGGTCTGGATGGGAAACGAGTCATTTCCCAAGCTGGTGGAGGGAGAGACCCAAGATCTCCATCGCAGAGTCCAAGGGTCCTGAGAAGTGTGAAGTCTCCTCTGAACTGGAGATGCTGGAGACCTGCTAGAGTAGAGGTCTCCAACCGTGGCAACTTGAAGACTTGTGGACTTCAACTCCCAGAATCCCTCAGCCAGGTCTCCAACCTTGGCAACTTTAAGACTTGTGGACTTCAACTCCCAGAATTCCTCAGCCAGGGTTTCCAACCGTGGCAACTGGAAGACTTGTGGACTTCAACTCCCAGAGTCCCTCAGCCAGATCTCCAACTTGGCAACTTTAAGACTTGTGGACTTCAACTCCCAGAATCCTTCAGCCAGCTATGCGGGCGAGGAATTCTGGGAGTTGAAGTCCACTAGTCTTAAAATTGCCAAGGTTTGAAGGCCCCTGCTCTAGAGGCTGAGAGAGGACCACATCTGGCTGCATCAGCTTGGTTCCACTTGATGCTCCGTTAGATGGGCTGGAATTACAGTTTTCAGACTTTTCTTACCTGCGTCACTCAAGCAGGTGGCCTCACCTGATCGAGCAGCATCCTTCTTCTCTTTTGGGGCCTGGGTGGGACGCAGCAAGGAGGGAAAGGGGTGGGCCAAACTGGCAGCAGCTAAGCCCCCCCCCGCCACCTTGCTGTGGTTTTGAAATGCACTTTGTCATGGAAATGAAAAAGTGGGGAGGGGTCTTTTGATGGCTGCCTGGGATTGACCCCTGAGCATCCTTTTGAGCAAAAGAGTTAAGGTGGAAGTGGGGGCAGAGCAGCCCCCCCCTCACTATCCTATGGTCTCATTCTGAGTCTTAATACAAAATTTCACTTTCCCCTTCCCTTCTTCTCTCTTTTTTTCCTTCCTTCCTTCCTTCCTTCCCCTCCATTTCTTTCCCTCTTAACCTTCTTTCCTTTCTCTCTACCCCTCCACTACCTTCCTCCCTTCTTTTATTTTCTCTTCCTCTCCCTCCCTCCTTCCCTCCCTCCCCCTCTTCTTTCCCTCTTAACCTTCTTTCCTTTCTCTCTACCCCTCCACTACCTTCCTCCCTTCTTTTCTTTTCTCTTCCTCTCCCTCCCTCTCTCTCTCCCTCCCTTCCTTCTTCTCTACTCCTCCACTTCTTTCCTTCTTAACACTTCCTTCCTTCCATCCTTCCTTCCCCTCACCTTTCCTTTCTCCCCCCCCCCCCTTTAAAAAAATTTGTTCTTCCTTCCTCCCTCGCAAAGAAGGAAAAGTTTAAGCTCGGGCATTGCCCTCGTCCTATAAAGTCACTCAAAACTTTTCACTTCCGCTGAACGGGCTGAAAAAGGAGCCCTCCGGGTTTTCTCCTTCCCTGCGTCCTTCACTACTTCTCCTTTCATTCACTTTTACTTCCTTGACTGCAGGCAGCTGGGATTTACCCCCACAGCCCTGCAAGGGGGAAAGCCGGTGCCAAGCAGAGCCTCCATATTCCAAGGCACTCTATCTTAGCGCACCAGATCTCTCATTTTTTTATGCAAACGGGGGCTAGGGGAGGATCCGGTTGGTCCAAGAGGCTTTGTTACTCAAGTCTGCCACGACACCAGGCATCTCTCTCCCTCTCTGCCTTTGCAGGCTCGTTTTTTTTGAGGAATGCCAACCATCCCAGCAAGAAGGCGAGAGAGAGAGAGAAAGAGAGAGAGAGAAAGAGAGAGAAAGAGAGAGAGAGAGAAAAAACCTTTCTCTCTTCGGGTTCCTCCCCCTCCTGGTTGTGCTAGGAAACTGTTCTCCTGCGATCAGCTTTCCTTCCCTGTCCCCCCCACCCCACCCCATCCCATCCCACCCCTTTTGGCAGCCTTCGCTTACCTAATTTGGTGTGCCCGCACCCTGCGTGCTCCTGATTGGTCCCCGGGAAAGTTTTCCAACGCAGATCCCAAGTTCGTTTCCTTTTTGGAAATCAGAGACCGCCCCCTCCCTCCTTCCCTTCCCTCCCTCCTTCCCCTGTGCTGGCAGACACTTCCCAACTTTGATGATGATTATGATTATGATTCCTTCTTTTTTCCCCCCCCCTCCGTTTGTTTGTTTTGCTCAAGCTAAGCGGCAGCGTTTACCGGAATACGATTCGCAAACAAACAATCTGTTAGGCCATCCCTGCTCTGCTTCTCTGTGGTTTCTCGTTGTGGCTCTTCCCAGCCTTTTCTCTCTATAACTTTCTTTCTTTTTTAAAAAAAATACTGGGAAAAAGTTCGTCTGTTTTGTCTTGATTTGCTCAAGACCATCCTCTAACCATCTTGGCTTCCAAGGAAACGCAATTTAAATTCTACTAGCGCCCTTCGATTAAAGACAATCTGCCCCCCCCCCGTAGAAAACGTGTCCGTGTTTTTGCAATTCTCTGGAATTTCTGTTCCAGGGAAATTTTAATCAAAAGCTGGGTCTGGGGGGGGAAATAAAATCTATCCATCTGACGATGGTTCTCAAGGCAGAGTCAGTCCTAAGGTGGAGATGGTGGACTGTGTCCCATCTCAGAGAGTGGTGGGTTCAAATGACACCCTAGTCTTTGAGAAAGGAATTTTACATTCCTTCTTCCTTTCCAACACTCTACAAGTAGACCTCAACTTAACAAGCGTTCGTTTAGCGACTGTTCAAACTTGCAGTGAAAAAAGCGACTTATGTCCGTTTCTCACACTTAACGACCGTTGCAGCCTCCCCGTGGTCACGTGACCAAAAATCCAGACATTTGGCAACTGACTCATATTTATGAGCGTACCGGGTCACGTGATCCCCTTTTGCAACCTTCTGACAAGCAAAGTCCATGGGGGGGGAAGCCAGTTTCACTTAACGACGGTGTTTTACTAATGTTAACAACTGCAGCAATTCACTTAACAATTAGGGCAAGCCAGGTGGTAAAGTGGGGCAAAACTCCTTGAACAAATGTTTCGCTTAGCGACATAAATTTTGGGCTCAGCTGTGACAATAAGTTGAGGACTATCTCTCTACTCCTTAGAAATAAATTGAAGGAGTTAAGTCTGACACTCTGCTCTTCCAAAGTCATTTAAAATCGAAAGTATGGCGGTGGAGTGGTTTTTTTTTAATTAGAATTATGCCTTGCTTAGCAAGTCCTACCAGCTTTAGCAGTTTCAACAAAAAGAGCCTGTTGTGTTTAAGAGTTCTTTGCCTCTGTTCCTTCCTCCTTCGTCTTCCTCTTCTCCCACCCACCCCTCTGTTTTTTTTTTCCCCTCTTAGACCCTCACTTAAATCTTAAGTTGCTGTTTCCCCACGTTAAAGGCAAGGCAATAATAATTCGATTTTTTTCTCCAGTCCGTGAGAGCAGTAGTTAGTTGGCTTTGAACAGGCTAAAAGCCTTTGTTTTGAATTTGGAATTTGTTAAGCCAGGGACTATTAAAAAAAAGGAAAGCCAGTTATGTGTGGGCAATTTTCTGTTTTGTTTACTGCGTTGCAGAACAGAGAAGGAAACAGCTCTTGGCTGGGTGTAAAATGCCAGTAGGAACATCCTTCGCTGAGATCATGCTTTGTCTGCAAACTGCCAGAATAGAAAAAACGGTGACAAGCCAAGATTTATTTTTTTTTACAGAA